CCCCCCGCCCCAGGGGCCTCCCGCCGCCCCCGGGGTCCCCCTGCCCCCGAAATACGTTGGCCCTCCCTAACCCCCCACCGGGGACCTCCCCGAATCCCCAGCCCCCTCAGCCCCCAGCCCGGCCCCCCTACCTGGCGTCCCCTCACCTCCCGCCGGCCAAATCCACGTTACCTGCACCGAGAAGCCCGAGGCGGATGGAGGAGCTTCGCGGGAAAATACAGACACTGAACGTTCTGCCGCCGGAGCGAGGAGCCACCCCATTGGCTCTCGTGGTGCAGCGAGCCCCACCATTGGCCAATAGGTGTATCCGGGCGTTCGCGCCCCGCCTTCCCCTCGCTCGCGCAGGCGCAGTCTGGGCTGGGGAAAGCGCATTGGCCCGCGCAGGCATGACGTCACGACCGCGCCCCGCTCCGCCAGCCCCATTTTGTGGGCCCGGGAAAATTTGGCGCGAAACTGCGGCGGCTGAGGAAGAGGCCCGGGCGACTGGAAGGTAACAGAAATGGCGGAGGGGGCGGGGCGCCGCGTTGGGAAGGGCTTCTGCGGAAGGGGGCGTGGTCTGGCGTCCGGGGGCGGGTCAGGGGGCGGGGCCTGGGCGGGAAACAGAGAGAGCCTGGCGGGAAAGGGCAGCCCCTGCGCCCCCTCCCGCCCCCTCCCACGGCCAGGGAAGGGCATCTTGTTAACCCAGAGTCGCGAGACCCCGCCTTTGGAGGGTCCTAATCATGATTAACACCAATCAATAATGATAACAATACTAGCTAATTTATCCAGCGCTTTGAGGTTCTGTCCGTGTAATCTTTGTAATATTGCATATTACATCACATCTACCAATATTATATGTTATAGCATTCAATAACTAACTCTGTCCGCCTATTACCTTTATATTATTACACATTGCATCATGTCTATCAGTATTATATGTTAGAGTTTAATAACTCCATATACAATCTTTGCAATGCTAGTATCTATTCTATCATATCTATCAATATAGCATTTCATAACTCTGTATTATCTTTCATTATTACATGTTACATCATATCTATCAGTATTCTATGTTAGTTTAATAACTCCATATACTATCTTTGCAATGATAGTATCTATTACATCATATCAATTAATCAATCAATCAATCAATACATCAATATTATAGCATTTCATAACTCTGTATTATCTTTATATTATTATACATTATATCATATCTAGCAGTATTATATGTTATAATTGAATAACTCCATATATTATCTTTGCAATGATAGTCTCTATTCTATCATATCTATCAATATAGCATTTCATAACTCTGTATTATCTTTATATTATTACACATTACATCATATCTATTAGTATTCTATATTAGAGTTTAATAACTTCATATACTGTCTTTGCAATGATAGTATCCATTATATCATATCAATCAATACATCAATATTTTAGCATTCCATCACTGTGTATTGTCTTTATATTATTACACATTATATCATATCTAGCAGTATTCTGTATTAGAGTTTAATAACTCCATATATTGTCTTTGCAATGATAGTATCTATCATATCTATCATATTATCTATCAATATTATATCATTTCTATCAATCTATCAATATGATAATGTTTCATAACTCTGTGTACTGTCTCATTGGG